TTTCCCTTGTACCCTTCCCCAGCCCTCCCATCAGCTCCACCTCATCCATCAGCGAGCTGGGTCACCTCCATCTGCAGCCACCCCCACTACGGCCACCCAGGCCAAGCCACCTCTGGCCTGCCCACTCTCCCTGCTCTTGTTCTGGAGCCCTGCAGTCCTCTCCCCCCTGGGGCTGGAGGCATGGGATCCTGTCAGTAACCTGCTTCCAGCCCTTCAGTGCTTCTTGATGTACCGAGATAGATCAGCCCTGAGCCGTCTCCTCTCCCCAGACCCCCCGCACCGAGCCCTGGTTCTGCATTGGGTTCTGTGGGTTCTTTCTGTTCCTTGGCGATCCCAAGCTTGTTCCCTTCCCAGGACTTTGCATCTTCTGTTCCCTCTGCCCAGAATACTCTTCCCCAGACCTTCCCATGGCTGGTTCCTGACCATTCAGGTCTCTGCTGCACTGTTACCTCCTCGGGGAGGCCCTCCTTGACCACTCATGCTAAAGCGGCCGCTCTCCCTTCCCTCCCAGACCCACCACTACTTGTTATCACAGCATCTTCATTTATCTTCTTTGTAGTGCATGTCACTGAATGTTGTGTTGTGTTCGTCTGAGACATTTGCATGGTCTCCCTCCATAGCCCCTCGAAGTTAGGGCCTTGCCTGCCTCCCAGCATGGTGCCTGGGAGCCTGGTGCCCTCATAGGTGCCTAGTACGTACCTGTGAATGAGTTGGGAAGACAGGAACCTCACTGCGATAGTCATAAGCGTCCTCTAGGCCAGTTATGCCTGGAGTGGGATACACATATTCCACTGGCATGCAGGAAGGAAATACTACAACTTTTATTCACAGTTGCTTTTTAAAGGTTTTTAAAAAATAAAACATATACATACATACATTATGTTGTCCGTATATAACATGTCTGAACAGTTTTTGTTCTTTAAGCAACATCTGTGCACTCATCCCCCTTTCAGAGGCAAACGCTATGTGCAACTTGGTGGTTACCTTTGCAGTTTTACCACACAGAGATGACCCCTAAACAGTGCAGTTCCAATTGCATGATTTTATCTTGAGGGTCTTTTTGTCTTTTCTTCCAAAAATGAAGAGGACACTTTACATACTTACTCAACCTGGAGTATCTCGCTGTTCCACGTACCAGCGGGCAAGGCCTCGAGTTGGAACCGGACCAATTGCATGATTTTAAACTTCATCTCAATTGAATTCTCCCATAGATGCAAAGGCAACTGGCTTAGTTCATTTGACAGTATGTTTGTGACATGCATCATCTTTCTTTGTGTCTAAGAAAGAAATTAAGCCTCGCTAATATTGAATATACACATGGTACAAGTACCGATGGGAATTATAAATGAGTGAACATGGGCTGGGGGTGCAGTATCAAAACAGTTGAGAGACCCGTGCTGGGAGCAGTAGCAGGGGGAGGGCAGGGCTGGACGCCTAGGGAGGGCCTGTAGGTGTGCCCCCACCTTGCTGGCCTAATGCTCCGTCTCTCTGTGTCCCCTGCTCCAGTGGCTTCTCCTCGGTGGTAGCTCTGGGCGCGAGCATCATCTGTAACAAGATCCCAGGCCTGGCTCCCAGACAGCGGGCGATCTGCCAGAGCCGGCCCGACGCCATCATCGTCATAGGAGAAGGCTCGCAAATGGGCCTGGACGAGTGTCAGTTTCAGTTCCGCAATGGCCGCTGGAACTGCTCGGCGCTGGGGGAGCGCACCGTCTTCGGAAAGGAGCTCAAAGTGGGTATGTGCTCACCCAGACACCCCAAGCGGGGTCTTATAAACTATGGGGAGACCAAAATGCCTCGGGAGTGCTCTGGGACCCCGTTCTCTGCTGCAGGCTGGACCGCCCTAGATAAGGGATCCTGCAGGTGCCACAACTTGAATTTAGGTCTGCTGATGAGGGTCAGCTCTCCGATTGGAATCCACCACCAGTAGAGTTCCCAGTAGAGTTGCAAACCAGCAGCCAGTGGCCCAAATGCTAACTGGCTGATGCAGCACTGATACTGTTTTTTAAATTGAAGCCCAAATTTAAAAACTATCTGTTTCACCTAAAAATATGGACTTCTGGCTTCTTTTGAAAAATTGGCAGATCTACGGATAGCTTACACCTGTGCCCACTTAGTTACTAATGGGCTGCAGCTGAGAACACAGCACTCTTTAGGTGGAGCCTGGGCAGCCCATTCACTGCCACAGTCCCCACCCTTCTGCATTGCCACCCAATCCCCTTATATGACTTGCCTGGCCCCTGTGGGCATTTGAATTTCCAACCCCTGTTTTATGGGAATGGTGTAAAAGCCTGGTGGAAAGGGCACGGGAACAATGTTGGTTGCCAGGAGGCCCCGGTCGATGTGGGGAAGGCCATGTTGTATGTCTTCTTGCTTGTGTGCGTCTGGACTGGGGGTCCGGGAACCCTGCAGCCTCACTGCTGAATCGAGCAGTGAACTTCCCTGAAAGTCGGGTCAGCCTCAGGTCCCTCGGCTGCAGTGGTTCACCCAGCCTGCTTGCCTGCTCACAGGGAACCCCTGGGTTCTCTGTCTCCTTCAGCCCCGACATCAGCAAATCCAGTTCATGTTGAAAAGATCCACCCCAAGTCTGGCCACTGCTCCATGCCCTCACTCGCTCCCGCTCGGGTCACACAGGTGGCACCTCCCAGCCTCCAGCCATCCTGCAAACCCTCCTGCGGGCCGGGTTGTCCTTTGTAAGTGGAAATCAGATCCTGTCATTTCCCTGCTTAACCTCCTTGGGAGGCTCCCCCTGGCCTCAGAATGAAATCCCAACTTCTCACTGGTCCACCACTGCCCTCTGTCCTCATCCGCTCCCATCTTCCTGTCCCCCTTGCCCACCCAGCCTCATGCTGTTTCCCAAGCACACGGCACTGTTTGGGTCCTGCTTGGGGGCCTCGGCTCCACGCATTCCTTCTGCCTGGTATCATCTCCCACCATCCTGCGCACCTTCCCTTGTGGTCGCTATGGTTTTCCTGCCTTCTCCTGCTCACACCCATGCCCCCTGTTTCTGGGACCCAGGCCTGGGCTCTGGCATTATTTTGAGCTGTGTCTTTGTTGACATATGAGATGTTACATATGGGGAAACTGAGGCTCAGGGGGACTTGCCCAAGGTCAGCAAAAAGTGAGTGGCAGGGTCTCCTAGGACTGGGCTGATCCCAGTATCACTCGCAGTCTTGGAGTAGCTAGCCCGTTGGTGGCATTGTAGTAATGCCTGCCAGGGTACAACAGGAGGGCTCCAGTGCAGGGAGCCCTGGGATGAAGGAGTCCCTGCTGTCCAGAAGCCCCCAGCTGCCCAGAGTTGTAGGATTGAGGGATCCGTTGCAGGCGGAGGCAGGGGAATACCGCCAGTATGCACCACCAGTTTATTTATTTATTTATTAAATTAAAAAAAAATTTTTAATTAATTTATTTATTTTTGGCTGCGTTGGGTCTTTGTTGCTGTGCGTGGTCTTTCTCTAGTTGCGGCGAGTGGGGGCTACTTGTCATTTTAGTGCGTGGGCTTCCCGTTGTGGCTTCTCTTGTTGCAGAGCGTGGGCTCTAGGCACGCGAACTTCAGTAGTTGTGGCTCGTGGGCTCAGTAGTTGTGGCTTGCGGGCTCTAGAGTGCAGGCTCAGTAGTTGTGGCGCTCGGGCTTAGCTGCTCCACGGCATGTGGGATCTTCCCAGACCAGGGCTCGAACCCGTGTCCCCTGCATTGGCAGGTGAATTCTTAACCACTGCGCCCACAGGGAAGCCCCCACCAGTTTATAATACCAGTATACACTGAGCAGGAGCAGAGGCCTGGGGCAAGGAGCATTCTTTGAGAGGAGGACTTGGGTAGGATGGCCTCAGGGGATTTAAGCAAACAGAGGCGCCAAGAAAACCCCTGGGATTGCGATGCTAGACAGCAGGCCTGCGGGACCTGGAAGGGAGTGGGAGCCAGAGCCTGGAGGTGTGTGGGGTCAGGGCTCGCAGTTTCGATTTCTAGGTGGTAGGAGATAACGGAGAACTTTGAGCAGGGGCATGACTGCCAAAGTAAGGTTGCAGTATATGAAATTGCCACAAGTCAGTGGTTTTAGGCCCACAAAAATAACAACATTATATGATTCAATCTAATGGGAATTCTGGAAGAGTCATTAAAGAGTGGGTACAGAATTCATTCATTCACTCACTCACGCGTTCACCAAAAATTTCTTGAGTGCTCTCTGTGGCTGGATGCTGCCCTTTCAGCCTCTGTGGTCAGGGAAGGCCTCTGGATTTGTGAGGGAGGTGTCTGGGGGAAGACAAAGGGGACGGCAGGTGCAAAGGCCCTGAGGCAGGAATGTGCTTGGTGGTTTGACAAACAGCATGGAGGCCGGCGTGGCTGGAGTACAGAGAGACTCAGAGGTCAGAGAAGGAGCCAGGAGGCAGACATTGTGGCACCTGTCAGGCCAAGTCTGGGGTTTGGATTTTCCTCCGGTGAGTGGAGGGGCAAGTGTGGGAGTGAGGAGTCTGGTCCAGTCTTCCAGGCAGGAGGTGGTGAAGTGGCAGCAGTGGAGACCCGCTTTGACCGTGAGCTGCCAGGATAGAGAGAGACTGACAGTCTGGAGGCTGGTTAGGAAGGGGTTACCCTGGTCTGGGCTTCTCAGGTGGTGGCAGTGGGAGCAGGGGAAGGGGAGGTCAAGATGAGACCCCTGCGAGTCTGAGGAGTCACTTCCCCTCTGAGCCTTGGTTTCCTCGTGTGTAAACAGGCATCCTGCTCCAGGACGGCAAGAAGCAAGCCTCAGATTTACGCTTTCCAGGCTCTTCAACACTGCTCTGCCCTCATGGGATTGCCTCTTTCTGGGAATGACCAGCCAACTGGGGCTGCCTTGTAGGGGTGAGGGATCAGGAGTGTAGTCTTTGGGCACTCTGGCCATCAATTCCACACTCTGGACGCAGGACACTTCACTGGCCTTTGCAGAGACTTCCCAGAAGCTCCACCCCACACTTCTGCCTATTTCCCATTGGCCAGGACCTAGTCACATGACACAGCTGCAAGGGAAGCTGGGAAATGTAGTCTTTTTTTCCCCAAAAATTCCAAGCAGCTATGAGATAAGCTAAGGGTCTGTGATGGAGCAGGAAGGAGGGCATTGACATTGCGGGGGGCAGCAGCCCTTCATGGGTTCTGCATCCCGTGCTGAGACCCAAAGGCTCACCCTTCTCCACCTCCTCATGCCCAGTCCAGTCCCCGATCTGCCTATGTTTCTGTCTCCCCTCCTGAGTGTTCTGGATTTTATTGCTTAGATCTGAGGAGAGGGCCCCAGGGCAGGACCAGGCAAGGCCCTCGTGGATGCTGGAAACCGAAACCCAATTCAAGCTGCCTCAGGCGGGAAGGAGAATTGTGCATCCTCGGGAACTGAAGGTCGGGGTGCCGACTTGGGGAGCCCTGGGACGTGAGCTGGCATCAGCTTCCTCTGGGGCAGAAAGGTGTCTGTCGGGCGGGTCAACCTCCAGGCTCAGGTCCTGCAGGAAAGAGCCTGACCTTTCTGCGGCAGCGCCTGCAAGAGCCCTGGAGCTCACTCTGATTGGATCTGGGGCCTGACTTCTGGGCGTGTGTCCATCCCAAACCATCACAGGGACCACTGACAATAGGGCTGTTGTTGTCCAGGCCTGGGAGCCACACCTGCACCATCTCCCAGGGAGGGGGACTATTTGTGGGGCTTTCAGGCAGCTTGGGCGGCTGGAATGAGGACCGACCGCAGGCGGGGCGACTTCCACACACAGTCCTGGGGGCTGAAGTCCAAGATCAAGGTGCTGGCAGGGTTGGCTTCTTCTGAGGCCCCTATGCTTGGTGTGTAGAGGGTCGCCTTCCTCCTGTGTCTTCATTTGGTCTTTCCTCTGTGCACGTGCCCTGATGTCTCTGTGTGTCCTAATCTCCTCTTCTAACGACACCAGTCAGGTTGGAAGAGGGCTCGCCCGAATGGCCTCATTTTAACTTAATCACCTCTTTAAAGGTCATACCTCCAGAGACAGACACATTCTGAGGTACTGAGGGTTAGGGCTGGGCATATGAATTCTGGGGAGGGACACAATTCAGCCCATAACAAGCAGCCGGAGAGCAGCACGGTCTGCACTTTAGGGAAAAGCATATGGGGTGTGGTGGGTGCTCGGAGGTGAGATTCCCAGGTGCAAAGAGCAGGTTGGACCAGTGGAGATGGCCTTGGTCTGGGTCTTGAAGGGTGGGAAGAATTTCACGGGTCAGTGAATGGGATCCCAGGCAGAGGGAACATCAGGACAAAGACGACGTGTGATTGCTAAGGGGATGGCGAGCGGGGGTCTGCAGCCTCAGGTGAGGTGACAGGCCGGCTCTCGAGGGTCTTAAATGCCAGGGCTTATGTGACCCCACGACAAGTTTATCAACTGCTAACCAGGCTCAGTTTGGCCCTCAGGGACCCAAGAAGGCGTTCACCCCACTCCAGGTTTTTCCTTTTCTTAAATAAAACAATGAACTCCCCCTTGAATCCACCACCAGCATGACAATTAGAATAAGGACCGGTAGCTTGCACCCCTGTGAACATCCCTCAGGCAACTCCTGCTCCCGCCTCCCAAGTCACACTTTCTCTATCCTGAATCTTGATGTCTAATTTATGCTACTGATATATTCCCCAGAAGTACATTATCTAGTTTGAGTTGTGTTTAATTTTACAGAGGAAAGGCATCACACTATAGGCAGTCTTTTGGAATTTACTTCTTTCCCCTCAGTATTAACAAAGCTTGTCTGTGTTGTTCTTCTTAGC